AATAATAATTTCAGAATATACAAAACATGATGTTACAATCTTATAGTATGTTTAATTTTATACACACACATATTTGGTTCCCTTTTATCTCTTGTTCTTCTTTGTATCGGTTATTGTTGTTAACCCAACTACAAGAAGAAAAAAGTTACCAGATGTAGGCCCAAATGACGTTTTTAAAGTTTGTAGGCTGTTTAGCAGCATCCCTGGCCTCTGCCCACTAGATGCCAGTAGCACCTCTCTCTCCCACCTCTGGGACCATCAAAAATGTCCCAAGACATTGTCAAATGTCCTCTGGAGGACAAAATCACTCCCAACTGAAAGCTACTGAGTTGAAATAAAACACTTTTGCACAATAGGCAAAAGTGTCTTGTCTCTCCATGCATCTTAATACTGACAATTTAAAGAGAATAAAGTTATTTTTGTTATCTAATTATACTGAAAATATCTTAATTACTATAAATATCTTGATATTGTTTATTATATAGTATATCAATTTCATTTTAACTTAGGAAGAATCACATTTATTCAAAATTCTACAACTTCTAGAAAATCATTGAGTGGAGCCATTTAATTAAGATGCTAGTTAAAAAGTACAAAGTTTTTATCTTATAAAAGGTTTCCATATTCAGTTATTAAAAGTTTTATTTGATTTCTTTTAATGTGTCACAGCCAGATACATTTCCCAAAACCCAATAAAATTTTACAGAGTAATGTCACATTTGCAATGGTTTCATAGTTTACTGTACTAGTTGTAGGTGCTCTATGTTTACTAAATTCCTGTTAAGGATGAAACAGAATAATCAGGCTAACAATTTAAAAGGAACATTGGCCCTCCCTACCTTTCGCTTTATTGCAGGTAAATAGAGCCTACATATCCCTACATGCTTTTATGAGTCTGATGAACTTTAAAAGGCATCTTGCATGAATCAAAAGAATGACAGTGTTTTCTTTTCATGTGATCTCATGTTTTATTTACCACCCAGAGTGGTAGATCAATAGCTACATGCCCAGAAGCTGCTTTTCAATAGTGTCACGGAGTATAAAACACTTGGAGAAATCAATTTCTTTTTTCTGTTTCAGGAGACTCAGTGCCCTTTTGTGTTGTTCATGGCAACAGTAATCTGAACTTTTTGTCTATGTTCTCTAAACTCTGAATATTTGGAAGTAAATAGTAACATACAGTGATTGAAATGGCTTTATTTGTTGTCATTACCATGGTTACTAATAAGTTATTAAGCTCCCCATATGTGAAACTGCTGAAATGAGCATTTTATGAAGCAAGTTACATAGATGTGAATCCTCTGGAAGTTTACTACTTAAAACTTGCACATCAAGACAAACACTAAAGTTGTGCACGATTTGAAAAGTGTAAGGAAGTAAAGATAGTCTGTTGAAAGGCAAGAACCCTTGTATCTAGTTCCGTTTTCTATCTATTTTATTGAGATCTCTATCAAGCTATTCAACATTGAATTCGTTTTCAGTACCTTCTATGTGACAGGGAACTTGTGGTGTCTTCATATTTGAAGTCAAGTTATTGGACATGTCTCATATTTGTTATTTGAGCTTTTGTCTTTTTATTCATGACAAGACCTATAAAAGTCTGTATTTTTGAATTATTCCATTTTTGGCTGCTGTTTCTTTTTCTGTTTCAAATACTTTGATAAGCAATTACTGGGATATCAAAAAAATTAAAACCGTAACTATAACCTATTTAGAAAATAAGAATGAGATCACTGTACATCTATACATCTTATGTCATGTGGCCAGAACAGTACTCCAAGGAAAATTCATAGCCACAGATATTGTCATTATTAACTGAGAAATTTTTTAAAACAAGTCTATTAGCTAACGCAAGTGTTATTAAAAGAAGAAAACAAGTATAGTGACCACAGGAGCCAGGACTTAATAAATGTAAATAAGATCGATGAATCAAAGCAGAAAGAATAGTATTGTAAATTAGATCCAAGATCTTGTTCTTTGAATAAATAACAACAAAAATAGATAAACCTCTGGTAAGTATTATGGAAAATGAGAAAAATCAATATACATACTAGAAAATATGAAGAGAGCATAGCAACAAATGTAGATATTTTATGGGAGATAGTCTATAAACTCCATGAAAATACTGGAAAATCTTAACAAAATGAATTTTTTCTTGGAAATTGTAAACAGCCAAAATGGACTCACAAAGAAGTATAAAACCTAAAATAAATGATGATGTAAGAAATGAAAATTTTTGTCCTGGGTAGATAGCTCACATCTGTAACCCTAGCATTTGAGAGACTGAGGTGGGAAGATTACTTGAGGCCAGGGAACCAGCCCAAGCAGCAATAGTGAGATCCCATCTCTACTAAAAATAGAAAAATTAGCCAGGTGTGGTGGTTCACGCCTATAGTCCCAGCTACTGGGGAGGCTGAGGCAGGAGGATTGCTTGAGCCCAGGAGTTTGAGTTTGCAGCGAGCTATGATGACGCCATTGCAGTCTACCCCAGGCGACCCTGTCTCAAAAAAAAAGAAAAAATGAAAAATTTCAAAGAACTCATCCTCTAAAATACACGTGGCCTAGATTCTTCACCTTTGAACTGTTTATTTCTTATATGCATTATAAATATTTCTAAACATAGAAAATATTAGAAACCTTTCTACATCATTTTCAAGATGATAATGTAAAGGCTAGGAAAATAAAACTTCAAGAATCAGCACTTGAAAAGGAACCTACATGATATTATTAAAAGAAAATAGGTCTAAAAATCCTATGGGAAAACCCAACAATTAATTCCAGCAGCATATTAAAAATAAATTTCATAAAACTGTTTTAAGGATTAAATCAATGTAAAGAAATTTATTAATATAATGCACCAAATGTTAAAAATCGTTTGGTGATATTAATACATACTGAAAAGGCAGTTGATAAAATGCAACATCAATTACTGATAACAATTTTTAGTAATTAGAAATAAAAGAATACTTTTATCACATGACACATCATTTTTAAAGAGACTCACCAGATTCCGTGGAGTAGCAGCATTCCCATTAGAGTAAGAAAGAAGAGAATGGTCGTTCCTATTTCCGTCTTTACATCGCTCTGTTCTGATATTGGCACTACAAAGAAACAACACAACAAGAACATCATGCAAGAACATACAGAAGACCGAAGGCTAAGGAAGGCATGTTTCCACTGTTAAAATATATTAACATTGGTCATCCATGCTGTTGATATTATGGGTGTTTCCTACTTTTCTCTTTTTGCTTGTCTGTGTTGGCTATAAAGAATTTCTATTGCTCTTTTTTTCTATCATTGTTAAAATGAGACAACAAACATCGAGGAATCATCACTGAAAAGAGAAAAGATGGTCTTTTCTTTTCAAACGAATGGCTTACACTAAGACTCAGTATTTTACTATCTTCAATTCTAGTTACATAGATGACTAAGTAAAAGCGTATGGAGAAATTTGTCACTTTTGTGAAATGCAAAACTAAAGGAAAGCTGCATTGGATTTCTATGTTCGTAACATGGCTTTGTTTCTTGATGCAGATAAAATGCTTTGTTATGAACTCCATCTCTATGTGTCTTGACTTTTCCTTCCCATGATGACTTTATCTAGTCTAACATTTCCCAAGGTGACTTCATCTAGTCTGACTGTCTTTTTAGGGGTTAGTTAAGTGAGCTCTCTCTTCTGGAAATTTCCATTCACCTAATAGTGAAATTGCTAGAACGGCTGGGCTAACTTCTGGCTCCCTCTCCCTCTAGTACAGCTTTTCCTGACTCAGTGTTTTTGCAAGCAAGGTGAAGGAGATGAGAAAAAGCTTCCTCAGATGGATTTAGCTAACAGAAATGAGTCCTTTACCATAAAATACCATCTTTACTAGGAGGGGGAAATGATACGTCTCTCCGAGTGCTGCAGAAGTGTCATTATTGATATTTTCCTCATGGTCGCTTAAAAAATCCAATTTTTCTATTAAATATTTAACATCAGGCTCACCAAGTGTAATTCTGCCATTCATGATTTTCAAGGAACGAGGTGGAATCTGGACTGAATTCATGAAGAGGCAGCATGGTAGTGAGCAGAGCCCTGACACCGACCCTCTGGGGGGCGTCTAGTGGCATCTGTGGAATGCCCACCAGGAGAAAGATTCTTTTACACTCATCATCTTAATCCTCAGAGCACCTCTGAGGTTTTGTTGCGATTTCAGTTTTTACCGATGATGACCAGAGACACCATGCAGTTCGGTGTGGTGGAGACAGGGTTCAAGTGTAAGTCAGCCTGGCTGGTAAAGTGACACCCTTTCCATTCATCCATTGCTGCCAAAGACTTCAACACGGGAGCCTCAGTTCCCTCCCATGTGAGGTGATTATAACAACAGCGACCGTGAAGTGTTGTTTTGAGGATCAGAGAAATAATCCAGTGAGCCCAGTTCAGGGTAGGTAGCTCTTAATCACCGTTGTATTCCTGCACTGACCAATGTAGTCACTAGCCACGCGTGCCTCCTTAAAGTAAATTAAATTAAACTAAGCGAAAAATCAGTTTCTCAGTAGCACTAGTCCCATTTCGAGGGCTCAGTAGCCACCTGTATCTAGTGGCTACCATATTGGATAGCACAGACATAGAACATTCCCACCATCAGAGAATGTTCCATTGGACACCACTGCTCTATATCATTAGCTTTGATTTTACACAAGTGCCAGACCTTAGGGATGAACGAAACCATTCCCTTTGTTTGAAGTGGAAGCTCTCCTGGATGTTTACCTGCTGTGGTGAGAGTCAGGTGAGGGCATTCTTGGAAGACATCCTTTGTTTCCCAGAGATAGAAAGGAGTCACTTTGGTTTCCTAAATTAAGATAGCCTATCTATGAACCAGATATTTTAGCCCCGAAAAGGTGGAAAGTTCATGCAAGGAAAATCTCCAGAGAGGACTCAGTGCTGTCCACCGTGCGCTTAACCACACGACCACAGAAGGGGTGGGGGAGGATTCCAACTTAGAGACAGCAGAGGAAACATTCTTTTGAGGTAGAGTCTGTAAAAAAACAACTAATCTTCTTTTCAAATAGATTTTTGTAAATAAGTGACAGGAGATGGGCTGCTTTTATAGAAAGTATTAACCCAAATGATGGTTGTTAATCATTAAACGTGTTAGATGGTGGTTGGCTTGTTTCTCTGATATTCTAATCCGGGTCACAGAATGGCTAAGGCAGCTTTAAGTGCAGGGTGGATTTTTTTTTCTCAGTTTGCCTTGTGTTTTCCACTCTGAAACAATGTTGTGGCCACTCTTCATTCTGGTGACTGCTATTCATGCTCAACTCTGTCACCCAGGTATGTAGCCTTGAACCTTAAAAATAGGTTAGCAGTTTTCTGAATGATTGACAAGTACATTGACTGAAAGAACTCTTTATTTTTCTAAATCTGCAGATGTGATGTGGCTTGAAAGTTGGGGTCATAACTGTTTGATGAGTTTGAAAGAAAATTTAAAACCATTTATGATGATTTCTTTTCAACTTTCAGGAGTATTCGGGGTAGCTTAATTGTAGTTCTGTGTTCTGTTGTTTTGAGTTGACGTAAATATTAGAATTTATCACGCTTCGTTTTGACGGATCTTATCACCATATTCCGCTCTTTCTTTTTTCTTTCTGGCAGGTGCAGAAAATGCTTTTAAAGTGAGACTTAGTATCAAGACAGCTCTTGGAGAGAAAGCAGTAAGTGGCGCACCCGAGTGTTTATTTTAAATTTTGTTTGCTAATAATACCCTTTCTCTAATAACGGGCCTCTCTGCATAGTTAATCTCAAATTAATTATTTGTAAAGACTTCAAATCTGATCTTTTCTTAAAGCAAAGATAGATTATAGTAAAACAGAAATTGTTAATAAAGTAGGTTTGCCTAAAAGTATTTAATCTGCACTGTATGCTAGAAAATATGTGAAGGTTTGTATTACACAAAACAATTTAGAAAACGAACATCTCAACCCGGCCTGGTGGAGCAAAAGGGCTTTTGTCAGTCTCAGTTTTCTAGTCATTGAAAAGAAGGGGCAATTCTACCCACATAAGGTCTTTTGTAGCCCCAAATTTTCCAATTCCAATGTGAATTTCCTCAATTCTCAATTTTCAAAGTAACAATATGAAACATATGCTTATGAAATGGAAGTTAAAAAATACAGGAACAGTAAACACCATTGAATTAATAAGACAATATCGTCTAATTCTAGTTTCCGTTTCCCAGTGTGGCCTGCAAAATTTTTTTCCCGTTAGAAGGCGATATTAACATGCCTCGGGCTAGAAACAACAACAAAAAAGAGTGCTAAAAAACTTAGAGATATTCTGTTTTCAGGCCAGTCCACCAATGTATTATTTTATTATTTACTTAATGAGTAATGATTGCTGTAACAGCCAGCATTTATTCGGAACTTAGTTTACGTTCTAGCTGGGACCCTCCTGAGCATTTTACTCCTATCAAGTCATTTAGCCCTTGCAACAACCCTTTGAGGAAGGTAGTACAGGTATTTCCATTCCCACTGGATGGATGAGAAAACTGAGGTGCAAAGAAATTAAGTAACTCGCTCAAGATCTCAAGTCAGCAAGTCGCAGAGGTAAGATTTGAATCCAGACAAGTCTGACTGCAGAATCCACTCTCTCTGCCAGTGTGTAGGGTGGCTTATCCCAGGATCCTCTGATGCAGGCACCATGCTTGATGCTGGGGATGCAATGGCAATTAAAATCAGGCTTGTCCTTGCCATCGTGGAGCTTATAGTAGTGGGAGAATCGGTCATCCATTAGATATTCAGTAAACCAAATGCGAACGTGCAATCCTCACAAGTATTAAGGAAGGGGAAGTACAAAGGGGCTTTGGCTTCATCAGGGACCTCAGCACTTGGCACTTGCTGTGAGTCTGAAGCATGAGGAGAAGTGAACCAGGGGATAAAAGAAGGAAAGGCGGAGGGAACAGCATGCGCAAAGGCTTATCACAGGAAAGAGGTTGGTGAGAGTGAAGGACGGAAAGAAGGCCGAGATAGATATCTGGAATTGAGGCAGTGAGGAGGAACTTAGAAAGAAAGGAGGGCCTAGGCCAAGGACTAAGTGGGCTGTGTTGGGGAGTTTTGTTTCGAAATGAGGGGAGCATTCAAGGGCATCAAATCTGTTGAGAGGCCAAGCCAGATGAAGACTGAAACATGCTCATGGCATTAGGCAATGTGGAGGTCAACGGTGGCTGTAGAGAGAGATGCTTTGTGGACTAGCACAGCTGGAAGGCAGATAATGGAGACAGTTAAAAATAATGGGCAGAAACGCAAGTGTAGACAACTCCTTGGAGAATTTTGGCTGTGAAGGGCAGGAGAGAGACAGCAATAGGTGGAAGAAAAGAAGATTGAGTGAAGTGATTTGTCTTTGCTGTTGTTTGAATGGAAAGACTTGAGCGTGGTTAAAAACCAATGCACAGGGCCGGGCGCGGTGGCTCACGCCTGTAATCCTAGCTCTCTGGGAGGCCGAGGCGGGCGGATTGTTTGAGCTCAGGAGTTCGAAACCAGCCTGAGCAAGAGCGAGACCCCATCTCTACTAAAATTAGAAAGAAACTAATTGGACAACTAAACATATATAGAAAAAATTAGCCGGGCATGGTGGCGCATGCCTGTAGTCCCAGCTACTCGGGAGGCTGAGGCAGGAGGATCGCTTGAGCCCAGGAGTTTGAGGTTGCTGTTAGCTAGGCTGACGCCACGGCACTCTAGCCCGGGCAACACAGTGAGACTCTGTCTCCAAAAAAAAAAAAAAGCAACGCACAGGCCACCAGTAAGAGTGGAATACACAGAAGAGAGGGGGAAACTAGTATTGTTTAGATCCTGAGAAGGGCCGAGGGGAAGCGTTCCTAATAGAGGTGGAGGGAATAGCCATTGATAGGCATAGGCGTGGCTGGCACTTCAGGGGAGAGGTGAATAGGACCTGTGTCTATGCAGGGAGCTTTGTGTCTTGGTGTTAGGAGGATGGGAGAGCTTAAATTGATGACTCGAGATATATTTATGAATTATGAAGCAATTTGAAGGCATTCAAGTGAGATGTGAGGTCAGGTTTGAAATAGTCACGTGGCCCATGAAAGACAGAACTGATGAAGAAACCTAAGGGATTCCCAGGCAATTTAGGGGTAGGTCATCATGAATTTAGCGTTAAACCAACTCACCTGTTTTGTGATTTTCCCGAGTTACGTTGATTACTTGCCTAAAATATGGGGTTTTTAGATGTGTGTAAAAACCAAGGTGAGCTGGGGACATTTAGGGCCTTGGCATAAGTGTTACTGAAATGAGGAACCAAGGAATTTGAACTGATGGATAAGTATATGCAATTAATATGCACCACTTGGTATGCGAAGCCACATGTGGGAATACAAAGGTGTGTTCAATTTCACACATTGAGCACCTATTATGTGTCAAGTATATGCACGACAGGTAGCTAAGCTACTATGAACGTTCTTGTACACATATTTTCCATATGCTTTCTCTGTTGGGGATATTTGTCCAGGAGTAGAATTGCTGGGCCATAGAGTATACAAATGTTTAGCTTTAATATCTCTGTCCTTCTCCTGTCTTAAGTTGTACATTTTCTCATCACTACATGTGCTCAATTCCTTTTATGAGGGAAGCCTGTTTCTTTGACACGTTTTGAATGCCCTAGTAGAAATATACTATGGTCAATGTCCAATCTTTCAATCTTTTCACACTTATCCAAGATAAGTTGGTTCCACTAGCAGGATACCCAACCTGATCTAGAACTGTGTCAATCCTGTCCTGATCTAAATAGCTCCCGGCTTTGTTCTGTGACCAAAACTGGACTCCTACCCAGCCATTTTATGCTCTTGTTTTTAAGAGGAATCAATGTAAGGACAGGAGATCAGGTCAAATCACCCCAAAGATCTGAAAAGCAACTTAAATTCATGTGCCAAGGAGAGCTGGCTAGCATCTTCATTTGCATTTGCT